ATTGACATCATTTTGCAGGTATACGGACGTATACCTGCAAAATGATGTCAATGGGGATGATGTCATGATGATGAGGAGGAGGAGCGCTCCGTCAGGCTGTCGGAGCGCTCCTCCTCCTCTGTCCGAGGCTGGTGTGGGGTGAAAATCCTCCACCTCAGACGTTCAGAGATGTAACTATCTGTGATACTGTGGTCACTCTCCATGTAGCATCAATTATGCTAATGCTAGCTGCCTGTCACGTTCTCTCGTCCTGGCCACACCTCCACTCTCTAACCCCCTTCCCCTACCCACACCCCCTTCCCTACCTACTTTGATGCATTTTTCGCCTTGGGGCGGAGTTATCTTTTCACGGGGAGGTAAGATACACTTTAAAGAGGGGAACCACCACCCCACTCTGCAAATCCAGTGGCACTGCCCCCAATGTCTACATGATGTTGCAAAGGTATGTCAACCATGTCCCATAACATCCAGAACCTTAAGGAAATCAGGGCGGATCTCATTGACCCCTGGCTCTCTGCCACTGTGGAGTTTTTTAACTACCTCAGCAACCTCAGCCCCAGTTATGAACAGAGCAATCCTGAAGTCCTCAAACTCTGCTTCCTTCATGGAAGACGAGCCAGTGAGCTCGAGAAGGTCTGTCATATTCCAAACGACATCAGTGGTTGTGATCAACAGCACCCCACCTTCACTGAACACAGTGTTAGTGAAATGCTGCTTTCCCACATCAGATGCCGTATGGTTTGCCAGAATCTAACCAAAGACGATTAAAAGTCTTTGTCCAAGGCCTCACCAAACTCCTTCCACATCTGAGCTTTTGCCTCAGCAACATCCACATTCACCGCTTGGCCTGCCGATACTCCTCAACTGCTTCTGGAGTCCTGCCGGCCAACAAGGCCCAATAGGACTCCTTCTTCAGCTTGACAACCTCCCTTACCCAAGGTGTCCACTACCGAGTGTAGAGAATGGCCACCGCAACAAAACTGACAACCTTGTGGCCACATCTCAAGGCAGCCGCCTCAACAGTTGAGGTGTGGAACATGGTCTACTCAGAGACTCAATGTCCCACGCCTTGGCTGGGATTATGTTAAAGTTCTCCCAGAGGCACGAGTTAAAGATCTTTCAGACAGGTTCTTCTGCCAGGTGTTCCCAGCAAACTCTCACTACGTTTGGGTCTACTCTCTAATATCTTGTTGTGCTCACTAAAGACTTYTTGAAACTCGTTTATCTTCATAACAATAAAAGGCCCAACTTTAAGTGGGATTTTAACTAAGATGGACTAAAAGAAAACATATGGCTAAGCTACATACCAGCACTATCTTTAATCGAAAAAAAGATCGCTATCTCGATTAGCCATGAACTAGAAAAATTGCTCACTAGAAGCTACCACTCCTTTGCATGAGGACTGGTGGATGGTGAAAATTAATGTGGCATACATTTCAGAAGAGCAGAGGTTTMTTCTGTTTTTGTCAACATCTGTGACTATCACTTGTTCTTGGACAACCTTGGACAGAAGATTGCCAGAGCAGGCCTGTGGACAAAGGTTCTGACCAGTATTTTTTTCCTTTTTGAGGATGGCTGTGACCTGGTGACAAAGTTATCACATCCCAAAATAGTTGGTTAGGGATCCTTGCAAAGAGTTGGTGACACACTGAGCAGCAGGTGTTCATCAGGTTTCAGGTTTCTAACAAATGCTTTATGAGTTTAGTTGGTTTGCAGAACTCTTGCTTTAGCAGATGTATGTTAAACTAACTGGTGACTCAAAAATTTCCTTATATTTGAGTGAGAGATTAAATGATTGTTTGTCTCTATGTGTCCCTGTGATGGACTGGAGACCTGTCTGGAGTGGATATTGTCCCTTGAATTGTGAATGCTGGACATGGGCTCTGGTGGACCCTGCGACCCAAAAAGGAAGTAGCGGGTAAAGATAATGGATGGATGGATCTATTATGTTAAAATATGAACTATTTTAGATTTGTATGCAGTTATTAATTTTTTCCATCATTATTCCAGTAGTCGAATCTCAGATCCAGGAAGAGCAGTGTGGTTTTGGTCCTGGTCGTGAAACACTGGATCAGCTCTAAAATATCAGCAGGGTCCTGGAAGGTTGATGGGAGTTCAACCAGTCTACATGTGTTTTGTGGACTTGGAGAAGGTGTTTGACTGTGTCCCTCRAGGACTCCTGTGGTGGGTAATCAGACTCAATGTCACACATGGTACATCAGAGCGTGATCTCCAGCTCTCACTAGAGTGGTTCACAGCCGGGATGAGGACCAATTCCTCCAAATTCGAGACCATGGTCTTGAGCCAGAAAAGGGTAGGGTGCCGTCTCTGAGTAGGGAGGAGGTCCTGCCCCAAGTGGAGGAGTTGAAGTATCTCGAGGTCTTGTTCACGAATGAGGGAAGAATGGAGCGGGAGATCGACAGGTGGATTGGTGCTGCATCTGCAGTGATGCGGGTGTTGTACCGGTCTGTCATGGTGAAGAGAGAGCTGAGCCAGAAAATGAAGCTTTCAGTTTACCAGTCGGTCTACGTTCCTACTCTCATCTATGGTCACGAGCTTTGGGTAGTGACAGAAAGAACAAGATCACAGATACAAGCAACTGAAATGAGTTTCTTCCGCAGGGTGTCTGGGCTCTCC